TGATGAACACCTGTTTTAGCAGTTTGAAATGTTTTCAACTCAATGGGCTAATGCAAGCCATAAAAGTTTCTATTCCAGTAGATTACAGCTAAATATAGAGAAAACAAATGTAAGATATATGGGATTCAAACATTGATTATACAACAAACATCAAATAACCAATATGATCACCAAAGATTTAATACATCAAATTGTTTTTAATCAATTTTAACCCAAGGATTAATATATCAAGCAAATTTTTTGGTTTTGACATATAGTCCTTTACATACCCCTAATAAACTAAAATACTTTATGTACTTGGATAACATGTGACATACTGTTAAAATTAACTATCTATTGTTACTAAGCAGACTAAATGATGTAAAGGACTATAAATTAAAACAATATGCTTGTATTCCACCACTGTATTAAGCTTGCTCTGTTTATCTGCTCTACTCTTACAAGCAGCACTGGTGAGCTGTGAATTCAACAAATCTAGTCTGTTGTAGCAGAGGTGGCTAATGAAAGAATAGGTTAAGCCTCTATGCCATTTTTTCTCACTGAAATTAACATTTTGGTGAGGAAAATAAATTCACAAATGAATGATCAGTTAGTCTACAGATAATTAATTTGATGGCATGTCACATATTATTCAAACCCTAATGTGTATTAAGTTATTAGTGGTATGTAAAGGACTATAATATACATCAAAATCAACCACAATGACTATGTTATTATACTGTTTATCACATCATAATTCCCAAGTTGGAAGCCACTAATGTCTGTGTGGACACATTTTTGAATAAGATTTTTTTAATTACATCTGAAATAGAAAATTTTATCAATTTCTAACAAATCTATATGTATCACTTCCTTGTGATTACACAAGGGACAAAATGGGCAATAAAATACCACTAAATGTTGCCTGTGCATTACATAATGACAACTTGAAACCTCAGTTTGATGTAATATACTCAACACTTTAATCTCTAATATTTTTTTATAGTCATCTGCATTATGTGCAATGACTTGTCATCGAAACCTCAGTCATGATCAGTTGCATCAAATACATGCTGCTTGTGAGTCATCAGAAGGCAGGAATATGTATTTATTCTGGCTATTATGGAAGCCTAGATACCATGAAACAGAAATAGCACTGACAAAGTACCCCAATGTACTTGCTCCTGAGTAACATCAGCCAAAAATGGATGCTGTATCAGAGGAGATTGAAAAGGAGTAAACTCAAAAGTTCAGGATACTAGATATTCCATAAGCACAAGCATGAAATTTGCCATGAGCTAAAATCTTTATATGCACAACATTTCCTGGAAGTATAGATTCTATACTTCACAGAAAAGTAATCCAAAACAAATCATGTCATTTTTCCCTATACCTGTTGTGAAATACATTGCCGTTAACATCACATCAAAATCAACTACAGCCATTGAAACTGCATTTACACCCTACTTTTTGTTGTGATATGTGAGACACACACGCATACATATATATATATATACAAGCTGAAATACTCATCAACTGATAAGGACTGTTTAAACTTAATTAAAACAATGTAAGTTTAACAGCAATCATATATTTCAGAGTAATAACTTGAACAAACTTTATCTCAACATTATAAAATTATAGCAAGGCTTCTTCATAAACCACATTTGCTGTTTGCTTTCCATCTACCAATAAAGATTTTGAAGCAACCCAACCATTGAACACTCTACATCTCACTGACCATGAGAAAAGCATGGTTGTTTGAGATACAATCCAGCAACTTTCATACTTTGACCTTGAATTTCTTTAGAATATTCAACATTGTCTAAAGCATCAATCTTCCAAGATTGTTTGAGACTGACTCAATAGGCTGGGAGTAATTAACCAACAGGCTTTACAAAATAGAAATAGGATTACATTAAATTTTGGCCCCCTTAGGACATTCACTATAGTTCATAATGTTTACAAACAAAGTTTGGTTGAAATTGACCAAATAGGCTTGGAGAGTGCAAAGAAACACATTTTGTCTTCATGAATATCACATAATGTAAGCTGCAATTTGTCACAAGAATGTTTAAGGGCAGTTTTTGTGAGCAAGTATGTTATATAAATGACAACTATAATGAGAGTTTCAAACTTTTGTTAAACACTAAATTAGTACTGGAAACTAAAATGTACCTTCATATATCTGAGAATTCTCTACTTGCAAACCTAAAACAGTGATATAATTTAATATGTTACTCACAAGTTTGGGTTCAAAAAATGGGAGGTGGAACATCTTTCTTCATTAGAAATTCTAATGGAAATCCCACAATGTGGTATAAACATATGTTGCTTAACATCATCAAAAGCATATGTTGGTTCATGAATTCGACAAAAAGAAATACCACGAGAGCCTGTAGGAATTTAAAAAATATATTAGTAGATGATAAAACCTTGATCCTCATTACCATAAAACAGTCTGCAATGAAATGTATTTTCATACTGTTTACTAAACTAGAATACACAAGAAATGAGAAGTAGCTAGGATAATTTTGTGTTCTTCTCAAACTTGACTAAGATATTACATGCATAATTATTCAATTACATTTTACTCCATCCTCCCCCACACACAAAAAAAGGAGGTAGCCCAACAAAACTGAAAAATAAGTAAACTGGGAAGGTTCTAAAGTTTATGACTAAGTTTAAACTTGTATATATACTAATTACCCAAAGGAATCTAAATATTAAAACAATAATTGTTCAGTTTCTTTAAACTCATGAGAATTTCTTGCTGCAAACCCTACATTAAAACCTGAAAGCATTTAAAATTTTATATTTTGTAGAATTCAAATGAATTTCAAACAGGGACTTAACTCTGGAATACTGAAGACCTTTCCTTGTTCAGTTTGATCTCGCATTGTTAACAAAATACGTGACTCAAATTTTCCAAATGTCCTTCAAGCATTGCAGAGCATGCATTACTTACTCATGATTTTCCACTCTCCCTCTGTCCATGTGACTTGTAGAAGTTTCATGAAATCTCACAAAAGCTCTACTTTCCCATCATAATTTTGATTCTATTGAAAGTTGTAGTCGCAATGAAAGTTTGTGGGGAGGAGTAGAGAAGGTATTTTAGAGATAGGTACCTGTTTCAAGTTAATTTTAATTCTATAAATCTTAAATTCAAGTCAGGTAGATTTCCCTCTGAAATACTGAAAGCCAGAAAACCCACAATGATGAACAAGAAAAAAAGAAATTGAAAATATAAAACTACAAGCTATATGATAGGAAGATTAATAATCTAGAATACAAAAAATACATCAAGCAATCCAAGTAGAATCTAGGATCAAAAAATAATTTGCACAGTTGGATTTGAAGAAGAAAGAGTTAAGCAAACAAGTCTCATAAAAGTACTGGATTTAAAGGACACATCTTTGCCCATATTGCCATTAAATTCATGCAAATGAGTTGGTTTTGGTGAGCAGTAATGATATATTTGTGAAGCCAACAATGAGACACAAGTGGTGGCACAAACAGGTAGGAGGAATACATGCCCTCTCTTGCAGTCAAATGTTCTCCACAAAGTGGCTCAGACACCTATTTTGAAAGGATGTACTTCAGAGGCAGTATCCCATCATCATCCATACTGAAAAAGACCAGTGAGTCACACAACTGATCAAATTAGTGGGTGCTCGTGAAGAACCTCAGCAAAACCCCAAGAATGAGCTTAAGAATGTGAGATCAGTGCATTGAAAACATCAAATATAAATAAAGAAACAAGAATAAAAACACATATGACATTCATCTTGATTGGAGATATAATGGTAGTCCCATTTTTCATATCTAATGCCATGGAAGGACATGCACATGGAGGTGGGAGAGGTACCCACTGCAGCATCATAAGCCATAAAATGGCACCCTCTATCCACTTCCAAAGAGCAACACCGTCTCATGGAGTTCCATCATTTGGGATGGAATTGTGTCTATAAAAAATGCACTGGTATATGTGAAATGCAAGAATCCTGACAAGATGGACCCATACAAGGTGTCTCACAAAAGAAGATCATGTTTTTGTTTTTGTGTAACCAAATAATTCTTCAACCTCACCCATACCCCTAAACTTGCAAATAGGAGTGTTGGACAATATAGAAATATTTGTGCTGCCTAGGGCAAACACAGAAGTTACAGAAAATGTGCGAGTCCTGACTGGACGATCTAATATAAATGCAGATTATCATGACTGTATCCTGTTGTTGTTTTTTCTATTATTTGTTTCCAAGTCAAAATTATTCACAATCATGGGCACTCTGGAAATAGTTAACAATGAATGTTGGGCAGAATATACAAAAAACTCAAAGGAGATGTATTCCACTGAGTCTGAAGAATAACTACAGATGGAAAATGGAGTCTTGAAACTGAAGATACAATGAAGTGATGAAAGTAAAATAGCAAAAAATACATGCTTGACTGTAAGATATCCAATAAAGGGTACAGAGACCAGAAAGCCAAAAACATTGCCAAATAGAGAATGTTATACGATGTAGCTTGACATTCATATTTGAAGTGGTAAGGGACCTCATGATTAAACAAGATGCATCAGCTGCAGAAACCAATTCATTAATGTGGATGGAGCAAGATTTGTGGAATGATAATCATCATAAGTTTATGAACAACCAGTGTTGATTCTCCCAACATCATTGTGGAAGATGTATCAAAAATCAATGGAACAGGATCCCCCTGAGATAAGCAAAAGAAATGGAAACCATGGTAAAATATGCCACCGTGGAGAAATAAGAATGAGAAAATGGTATCAACTGATCTTGGGCAACACCCAAAAAAGTAAATAGTAGGTAAAGAGAAAAATATTCTTTTAATACGGGCTGGAGAAGCTAGACCCAGAACTGGAAACCTGTAAAGCATCAGAAAATGAAGCACTGCCACTGTGAATAGAGCTGAGCAATTAATGGAATTTGCTAATTGATTAATTATCAGTCATGAATCACTTTCAATCAACTAATACATTATTCTCTGATATTGCTAAGAAAAAATCAATTATTCTCACAATTTATAATATTATAAATCAGGTTTTGATACTTGTGGTGATAAGAGCACAAACAACCCATTGTGTAGTTTTGTGTTTACCAACAAACAAACATAACTTGATAATTGAAATAATCAAAAACAGTAATAAATGGAAACCTTAATTTAGAGTAGTTGTTTAATTTTGTGTGTCATGACACTAACTGATTAAGCTGAACAAATTTGAGTTAATAGAAAATAATAATGGTAACATTTCAATTATGGGATAGATGGAATAATCAAAAACAGAAATATATATATTAGTTTATTATTTTCATAATATAAATCAAATTAATTGCCCAGCTCCAGTTGTGAATGCATCAAGCATAGGACGATTGAACCATTAGCACGACCAAAGAAATATCAGCTCAGAAAGAGACATAACGTGAATGTCACCAAAAAGATAGAGAAACCACAGCAAACAAAGGTTGTGAGTTCGAGTCTCACTCTGGCTATTTTTACATGCTTATGAGTACAGAAACACAGTGGTGGTGTAAAAAGTGGCAGGAATTCCTGACATTCATGTGAAGCAGCCCAAATCTCTAACAAAATAATGTGAGAATAGAATATCTGAAAAACTACAGGTCCAAAATATAATGTTTCCCCAACACATCACTCTGGCCCTGGAGAGAGGCAGCTGTAAATGGATTTAGATGTAGAGGAAGTGGAAGAAAAATGGGAACTACAACATGAAACTCACAAATACACTACACTTAAAGGGAATGGAGAGAACTAGGGTAAATTCTAATAGACAAAAGGTCTAAGGATAAACTCCATGAAAGGGCATGATCTCAGGAACAGTCTATGAAGTAAGCAGTTAAAGAAATGCCACTGTTCCCAAATCAAGGGGAGAATGGGTTTGGCAGATGGAGAAGTATGCACATCCAAAACTCAAGGGCTTATAAAGCCAAAGGAGATGGGTAAAGAGTTCATGGGAGAGTGTTCTTACACAATCTCACATGAACAAGATACTGAATAGGCACAAACTGACGCTTTGACTTCTGAACAATTCATCCCAGGGAAGAAACTAACTGGAAGGTCAATTCAGTGTGAGGCAACCACTGAAAAAAAATCTTCTAGTTATCCATGTAATAATGACAACCAATGAGTGTGTGTAGTAGAAGAATAGCTAATGGTTTGATGATAAGTGTGAAGTAGAACCAAAGCCAGTCCAAAACTAGAGTGCCAAAAACTAAGAAGTCCCTCCACAATGTGAAAAATGAAAATGGATGAATAAGGAACATGCAAATAAACATCTTTGGAATTCCCAATCTTCATCCAAAAACCTCGATGAAGGGACACTCATTAGATTATCACAAGTTCCACCTAGCAAGAAGGAATGACTAGATAAGAGATGAGACCAAAAAGATCAAAGACCATTCTACAATCTCTTCTTGTCTTTGGCAACACAAAGTGATAAGATTAAAAATCTCATGAAAACATAAAATACAATATCCACATCCACTTGTTGTGAAAAAGGTTTCAAACTGTCAGATCCAAAATCAAATAGAAACAGGAAGAGTTAAATTTGAATAATGAGTAATTTGATGAACCCAAGGAACTTGAAGTATCCATAGACAATCAAGTATTTGAGATGACCCCCAAAAGTCCAGATAAAGAACAGAGATCAATGAGTAAGTCATAAAGACCCACCTTGCTTACATTGACACTAGGACACACTAAAAATATGAGTAAATGTATCAGACATCAAAAGTTAAAATTTTTCAACACTGAAAATGTATTTCTTATAGATACTCACCTCCATCAGCTTTCCTGAGTCAGCACTGCCCTTTATAAGCAATCTTTTTCATTTGCCACTAGCCTTGAGGCTCCCACCTAATCTTATGTGTTTCCATGTGATATTTCTGCATTGTTGCATACAAATGACCATGTGGCAACCTTCCACTAACAGGAATGTGACACTGCTTCCTAGCATAGTTGGCTCCCTCTATACTGATTATTCAGTTATCACTTCAAGATTAGGCAAGAAAGTAAGATGCACCAGAAGTGGGGAGGAAAGATGGGAAGTGTGAGTATCTATTAGAAACACATTTTCAGTACTGAAAAATGTTCACTTCCAATACAACATGTAACCTTCGCTCACATCTAGCTAGAATCCATATTGAAGAGGGAAGCATCCAAAGAGAACCCATGGAATGCAATACCCTATATTTTGGAACAGAATAGGACCACACTTGTGGGAGATCACACCATGTTTGTACAAAAGTACACTCTTTGCCTGGAAAAGAAGAAAATGTCCAAATGATGAGTGGAAGATACAAGCACAGTCCAAAACCTGCATCAAGCTTTCAGAAGTACAGTATGTGTAGTGTGGCTAGGGCACATCAGACAGTATGTGGCCAGTCAAGTCCTGTCCAAAATCAAGTGGCACCAGGAATTCAACTTTCAAGCAGCAGTATGAGAAGGGTTCCTATATCTTCACCTCAAGCCCAGTGAAGCTGAATGGGAAAGTAATATAAGCCTTGCAATTGAGTGAGGATTTATGTTGGCTGGTCCTGTGCCAATTCAACACCAGACCACCAAAGGATGGGGGAAAACAGGCTAGAAGGGCGAACTGTGCTACATGGACAGAACATCACTGCCCTATTCCCTATTGAATGGAATTGGTCACACTCATGAGCCCCAGTGGCTAGGAACTGACGAGTGGGAAGGACTCCCATGTTCCACTAGAAGTAAAAAGGGGGTGAAAGCATGATGAGCAGTCTAGAGGAGGGCATCACTGTTAAACAGAACAATGGGTGATCACGAAAACCCTACTTTTTAAAAGCAGGTCACCACTAGGTTTTAAACTAGGTAACCCCTTGCCTGCTTTACTCATGACACAAGCCTTGAAGCTCCCACCCATCTGGAACTGACTGATTCCAATGAGTCTTCAATGCAAATCATCATGTGACAACCCTCCACTAATAATTATGTGATGTACTCTCTTCACACATGTGACTCCCTTTATTCAATTGTACCAAACTATCACATCGAGTGTTGGCAGAAAATAGAAGCACCTGTTTTCAGTGGGGAGGAAGTGTGAGGAGAGGTAAGTACATATCAGAAATAAATTTTTAGTATAGGAGAATTATATCTTCCAATATGGTACATTACCTCCACTCACATAAATAGCTAGAATCCCATATTGAATAGGTGGAGGGACCGGTGTGAGGGAAAGAAAGAAGCAACCTTCAAAAGCGTCCAAAGAATATCCCAAAGAGATCTTTAGATTCGAAGACCATACATGGGAGACCGCACAACTTCTGAACCAGGTATACCCTTCGCCCATTGTAGAAAGATAGTTTATAATCTTAACCGGAAGTTAGATACACAGTTTTATCATTCTAATCTTCATATTTGTGGTATTTGATTAAATTTAAGCCCTCTTATAATTCACTGATGTGTTTAGTGAAATATTTAAAGTTATGCCTCAGTTTAGGGCAACTTGCACTTTCTTCAAATCACATTGTATGACTAAGAATTAAGGTAAAAAAAAATCATATTAGCCTACTGTATATCAATGTAGAATCAAAACCTCATGTAATAAGTTACATATCATCTGATAAATTCATATCTTTGTAAATTTGCATCCATATTTATATAAAAGTATTTTCTTTTAATATATTTTCTTTTCATCTTTTAGACTATTTTAACTATGTTATTTATTTTACTCAGATATTACTAAATCAATAATTACATTTTACATGGAACAATCAGTAGAAGAATCATAACGACTGCCGTTTGTGATAATTATAAAATTTTAAGTTTTTCCTCTTATGTTTACTTGATTTCAAACTTAGTATTCATTTTAACATTTCAATAAATAATAACAATAGAGGTAAAAAAATATTGTAACATATATATTTATATAACTATAGACTAAGTAATTTGTACAAGACACCTAATTACATAAGGTGTCTTACAACAAGGAGTTTTAAAAGGATATCTTTCAGGACTGAAGGCTTTTCTTCACCTTCTGATTTTTAATTTTTTGAGCTGCTGTACTTCTGGGATGCAGTGTTAGATTCTGCTCTTCATCTTTGCTTGTTTTCTGTTGGTTTTTTTTTTATATACTAAGGTCAACGACTCAGTCCACTTGATGTCATAACTCGAAAAACGATGTAATCACCTGCAGAGGTCTTTCAAGATCACAACTGCTCAACGGTTTGTTGATCCCTGAGGAACAAAGTCACAGATGTTGACCAAGACAAAATGCCGCAAAGCTATAGCAACAGCAGTAATAACAAACCATGTGAGTGGTAGTAATGGTGCTTCAGGAAAGACACCTTGAATGACCAATCACAAGATTAGGTAAAAGCAACTAAAGGAGCCAAATATAGCTTGAGAGATTCTTTCAAAACAGCAAGATGACTATTGATGCACATAACATCCAACATTTATAGGACTAATTGCAAGTGCAGGAAGTTATGCTGTACTACTGTTATGAGCTATGAGAATGTACTGGCTGACCTGTACCCCAGCTGGTGGTTCTCATGGTTCTAAAACAGAAGATATAATTATGCATACATGATGCAAGGAATGACGTATATTATAATTAATATTCAGTTTATCTGGATGCATTTGTGTCAAAACATTGAAAAATGATGTATACTAGGATTCTTCAACTATTTTTTTAAGGGAAGCAAATTGGCAAAAAGTTAGGACTATGCAGGCCAGAAGTATTTTTAGCTACACATCTTTAAGCAACATAATAAATATTATATATAAAGTACTGTTAGTATATTGAGCAAATGTTATCATACAAACAGTACCAAAATAGTGTAGCATTTAATATATTTACTACTGAGAATGCACATGTGCATGTTTATCATTTGTTCAGGTCTGCTCACAATGCTCATGCTTTGTAAATACAAAATATTACATTTTAAATATGTTATTATTGTTATTGTTTAAATTTAAAACACAATTATATTGCATTAAAACTCTTATCACAACTTGCCACAGATAATGGCAAGCATCAAAGCAGTTAACATGTTAATGGAGTATCATTACAAACATTTTTAAATGTCTGTAAGACAACTCGCACATAGAGAATTTTTCAATAATTTTATCATTTTTTCCCTATATTTCTTTTAGTTATTTGTTTTATAATTTTTTGCAGACTGTCAGCAGGCCAATTGGTCGTCCCTTGTAGGCTAGATGCAACCTATGATCAGCCAGTTGAAGAACCCTGGTGTAAACATTGTATCAGGTACACTGCCCAGAGAGAGAAAAGGAAAACTGACCATGTCATGGAAAAATCCTGTGGAGAACTGTACATTCACCTTGGTTAAAAATTGCCCTGGACATACAGAGGGGTGTTCACAACCTATGGCAACAGTACGAAAATATATGGCTAGGCCTTACAGAATCTTATTCCACCAAAAATAGCTTTTATGTGATGGCTTTGATTATAGACAATAATCTATTACTTGACAGCACAATTCCCATTATAGGAGGTTTTGGGCACTGTAAACAATGTTGTCCAACTTATCTATAGATGTTTTTCAAAGTCAATCAACTTTGTAATGATGATAAAGGCACAGATGTCCATGAGTGATGTCTATGAATGGTACATAATGAATTTCTGTTTTTATCTGGACTTTGTGAAGGATCTGTCACATTGACTTGGATGAGTGGCTGGATGCTGTGTCTTGATGAAGCCCATACTGACATTCGATTTTTATAAAGAAATTTTCTCACAACAAAAGGGTATCAACAGATTTGACTGAAGGTATGCAAAGTTCACTTTCTCATTTTCTTAACTCTTTAGATATTTAATTTACCATTAAGCTCTAACTTGCAAAAAATGTAAGTTCCTTGAAAGCACTTTTATGAAATGCTCTGTATCACTGGCAAGATGATGATAAATTGTCAGGTACCACTTGTGTAGGTTTCAATAGTTGGTCATCTGTTTGGTGACATTCTTGTGAGCATAGCTAGAGTGTCATTTTTCATGCTCAATTAAACATGTGTGAATTACCCTGTTTACAGTTCCAAGAAAGGTTACTAATTTAGCTACAATGGATCACTGTGTTCTTGGGTTACTACAAGTAAAAAGTTGTTTAACCCTTTTGAAATGGGTCGTGGGTGAAAGACCATGTCATCTTGTTTGTTGACCGCATTCAAAATGTTATTGAATGACTATTACATGAATTTATGTCAATAACTTTGGTATTAAACTGTAGATTATAATTCAAAGAGATTATTCTCCATAGATATTTTCTTTTTTAATCAACCTCCTATTATAAGCAGGATTCATAGCCTACCTATTAGAAATCATTATACCTGAATACCAAACACCGTTGCGAAACATTTTCTTACAGGATATTGGTAAATAAGAAAGTACTTTGTTGCATACATACTTCAGCAATATAAAACTAATAATAACATTCCTAAAGATGATTTCAATACATAAATCTGTTTTATTTAGTGTTCACATAAGATAATTTATCTTACACTCTGTCACTGGCAATGAATCTTCATCCAACTCATCATCTGTTACAGGAAGGTTGAGTTCCTCAAAATCTGAATCAAGTTCAGTCTGATGATGGTTGACTTCAAGGTCAGAAACAGCCATCCTCAGGATTATGCTTTTATGTTACCTTTGGTTATAAAAAAAAAATCTAGTTATGCTTTCTATTTTTACTGATTTATGAACATAGTATCAAGGCCCAATCAATTAATTAATAAGAAAAAATGAACCTAGTTATGCTTTCTATTTTTACTGATTTATAAACATAGTATTAAGGCCCAATCAATTAATTCTCTTTCTTATAACAAGTTAGTATAACCTGAAAAAGAACAGAAACAAAAACAGTTCCAGATTATATAAAGTTAAATTTTTAAATCAGTAAAGCACAGAGTAATGCAGATAGCACAGTTCTAATTGCTGAAAACAAGAAAAATCTTCAAGAAATAATAAATATTATTATTGATGAAATTAAGGAAAAAGGATTGACTCAATAGCAAGAAAACAGAATGTATAGTAACCTCCAAGAAAAACTAATATTCCAAAATTCAGCATTACAATTTGTGGGACAAAAATCAAACAAGTTCACCATTTCAACTATCTCGGTTCATCGATAACATCAGATGATAAGTGCATACAATAGATTAAAAGGGGAATAATGCTTGTCAAGAATGCTTTTCAAAATATGAATGCAATACTGAAAAACAATAATACATCAAAAAAAGTAAGTAAAAATGTTTTAAAATGTAACATCAAGCCCATACATATGTACAGATGAAAAACATGGACAATAACAAAGGAAGTGGGGAGAAAACTTGAAGCAACTGAAATGTGGTTCTTAAAAAGATGCTGCGAGTTGCATGGACTAAAAAGAAAAGTAATAAACAAGTCAACACAACATGCAACATCATCAAGAAAATAAGAAAGTGACAATCATAGTTCATAGGCCATGTGTTGAAGAAAGAAAAGATGGAGCATATAGTAACAACTGGAAAGAGAAGCAAAGGAAGACAAAGAATAAAGATGCCTGATGAAATCACAAAATGGTTAGGAACTATGAGAAACAACAGAATTGTTGAAGAACACCAGGGACAGAAACAAATGAAAATGTCTGTCAATACCTACATACAGGCAAGACACTGGAGAACCAGAATGCACACAGAAAATATGTACAAATATATTGAAGATATATTTTTGCATTCACTTTTTTTTAATTTGTTTTGATTTAGATAAATAAAGCAATTACTTTGCCTACTGATGAATGAACATTATAGGTACCTTTAAATAAATTTAAACCAGTGGATATTAGAATACCAGTAGCTTGTTTAAGGTTCCTATTAGGTAGATATAAAATGTCAAATGATAATCTATGTCAAAAATTTCTTATCTTTTAGTCAGTACTAAATGTTATGAAACAATATAGAAACCCATATAAGGATGTCAAGCTTTCTCATACCCTCCACCAACAAGCAAAGTCAAATCAACAACTTCTGCAAAATGAACACCCCATACTGGTGGAATAGAGATACTGATAAAGCCTGAAAATCACACAATTAAACCCAGGCTAAATTCATTTGGATAAGGCATGATTCAGCCCAAGCAGAGAAAGCAAGGATTGCACAAAATAGATTCTATGCTCTCTACAGGCAATCGGTTTCCAAAGCATATGACATGAAATGGAATGAACTGTTCAGCAAGGTTAAACTCACAAACACTTCATTCTGGTGCTTCTACAAGATTATGGCTGGCATAAACCTAAAACATGGAATTTCACTCATTTGCAATGATGACAGTATCTCAGTCCATATAAATGAAGACCAAGATAAAAAAGCTTCATGTACAGATGCATTAAATAATGTGATCATGGCAACACGCATTAGAAACTCAAGTTACAGCAATCCTTCTCTAAGCTACAACAACATATGAATGTGGGAGCTATCTTTAGTTTGTAAGAAATAAACAAAACCATAAATATATCTAAAGATGGAGATGGTAAAGATTGTGTAAGAATCTCCACTTTGAAGAAGCTTAAAGAAGCCAAACCTGTTAAGATAGTATTGAAATATTAATGAAGCTAGGAAGCAGCATCCCCTGACATACAAACTGATGTCTTTTTTTTAAACTCTGACCCAAACTGTTGAAGCATCACTCTCATCTTAAAGGCCATTGAATCAATGTCTCCCACAACATCACTGGCAAGCTTCTAAAGAAGGCTGTAGCTAGAAGGTGTACCTAACAGATTAAAACACAATACATGGTTTTTGCAGTGGAAAAACCTGGATCAACACTGCAGAATTCCCACCTGATACATAGGAAGGCTTTGATGTTGATCACAAAACTTTGACAGCAGGTTTAGATCTGGAAAATGCCTGCAAAAGAGTCTAGCTACCATTCTTGCTGACAAAATATTCAGAATAGGTATTAACATGTGTACGATGGGTTGTAGCTACACTAATTACCAGAAGACGCATCATGAAGCATGAAAGCTGCAAATCAGACAGTATCACTTGGCACTGGTTTACCTCAAGGATCACCACACTAGCCAGTCTTTCAACATCTACACCATGGATCTAGCCTGTTTCAACGTTCCAGTCACATGCCATGTCTGAACCTTTGATGACAACTTTCTGGTGTAAAGCATAGCCTACAGTAAAGCAGAAATTGAATGCAAAATGCAACCATACATTAACAGAGTTAGCAAATGGTGCAATTACATAGGAATAATCATCAGTCTTACCAAAACCACAGCCATGTGCCGCACACTCAAAAACAGATATGTTGATGAGGGCAAACCATTAACATTCTTTACAGGCACTGGTATCCCTCTGAAAGAAATATTGAAGTACCTTGGGTAACCTTTGCACATTAAAACTATGATAATGAGAACTACCAAAGGCAATGATGCTCTGAGAATTGCATCATGAAATAAGTGTGAAGAACATTGCCCACTTACATTCTACTAAAGTATTGTCTGCTACATCCTGGATTATGCACTACTGATGATCAGAATACAATTGCTAAATGGCTAGATAAAATAAAAACATATGTAGAACAACTGTTTAAGACTGGTCACAGAATGTACTTCATCCACCCCATAAAAGTCCTATTACATCTCACAAGCCTCAGCAACATTGCAGAATATCAGCAGCACTAAAAAGTAAAATTATTCACTTAGATGGCCTTGTAGTGAAAATGTCATACATTTTATCACTGAGCCACTGTCTTTTTCAACTGACACTAAACAAGTAAGGGCACCTAAAAAGCACCTAGGAGATAGTCATGGCTCATGGGTGGATAGGTGCTATAAAGTCACCAATGAAATAACTCATTACTACCAGTTCTCTGATACCACCATACTGGGATATGTAGAAATCAGCCTAGACATGTAAGAGATTGGGCAGAAGATAAAGCAGGAAAAGCCTGTCAACATCTCTTTTAAAGACCATGGTGGACAGTCATCTGTTATTATAGCCAAAGGTGGTTCCTGTACCAAAGACAGGGAGAAAGCTGGTTGGGCATTATTCCTCTCATAGAGTAAAAACATTCTGCATAAGGTCAATAGAACATTCAAGCTTCCAAAAACAAGCACAAACAGACATTGCTAACAACATAATATTTGTGACTGACTCGTAGACAGTACTGAATAAAGTTCAGTGATTGATCCTCAGATGGATGGCAGAAAACAAAGCACTTGCATGATAAGACCACCACCCGAATGAATGTGGCAGGCCAGGCAGAGGTAAAGTTAAACAAAAAAGCTAACAAGTTTGCATGAGAAGCCCCTTTTGAAAGTTCATCATGACTCTACTGGCAGGATATCAATCTTCTATGCAATAGTAAGGTGAAAGAGGCAACATTAAAAGGTCTTCTTCATTAGCATTCAGAGGGAATGAGACCGCTGTAAAACAATATATGGAATGTTGAACGTAGAAAAAGCAAACAATTTCAAATCAAAAGCTCAGTACACAACACTGGTAACATCAGTAAGAGGAACTCTCTTCTACCTCTTGTGAAATAGCTGATATTCACATGACGGGTCAATGCCTATTAACACAACCTCTGAGATCATCACACAGTTACCAGATTTAAAGATAATTAAGGAGAATACAATTATTAAGATAAAATACACCATAAGTGAAATTGTCAATGGAACATTTCCACCATAAGAAAAAATAAAATAGTGGGAATAACCTACAGAAACTAAATTGAATTAATGCAAGAGAAAAAAATGCATATAATATTCTCTGATAGCATCTAATTATAATACAAGTTTATGGTATCTAGACTCATGTTTCAGCTAAATCTAATTGTAGGTTTTAGATTCTGAAACATATGAAAGAAAAATATCTGTCATGGGTAAGTAAAAGAGAAATCAGGATTATTAAAATATACACTATTCTTCTACCTAAAAATACTTGAAATTGTTTTTCAAAGTTTACATTCACTAAAGACTATAGAACTAGATGAAATATTTGCATATAAATGTAACAAACTGGAATGCACTTTTTGGATTCATAGTGACTATTGTATTAATCATAGTTTAAATGTTGTAGCTTCATTGATTTTTGCTATTATTTATATTGATAAACATGGAGGTTATAGTTCTAATCTAATTTTATGAACAAATATCAACCATCAACAGTATGTTTAGTTTGGAAAGATACTGCAGTAGACACTCATAAAAATATTAAAATAACACAAAACTTGGCTCTTGGAGGTTTTTTCATAAATAACTTTTCCCTAACAAACAAAAAATAAATAAATAAAATTATTTATTATGTCATACAAGACTAACTATGACACTGATTAAATGTGGAATAAATTTCTTGACAATGGCAGCTTCTCTGAATTTTCTGAAGAGGAAAGATTTTGTTCTTTTTCTTTTGAGGACTACCACATACAAAACCTTGTGGGTGGTTTAACTATAATTATTAACACAATGTTTATCTATCATGCTGCTTGACAGTTACTTTGCTAATTTACTCAAATATTTATGAGTAGATAAAACTTCACATGACAGAACGGCACATTTTATCAGAAGCTGAGATAAAGTTGTGTAATTTTTTATCCTTATCAAAATATAAACTTATGTATATATATAAGTGTGTGTGTGTGTGTGTATATACACACACT